CCTCTCCATAATTTGTGTTCAGCAATGTCAGTTGCTAGGGAAATTTTCCAGTCTAATACATAAATCATACATTGGATGCCTGCACTGTTTTATGTAGCTTGGTCAAAACTAGAATCATGACCACTATTGATTAATTTTTTCAATGCCAGATTTACGTAGAATGAAACCTAACTTTTCCTACCAAAAGCATCCAAGGTTTTCCTCGGAAGCCCAGGAAGGCCACTATTCCTTAAATCTGGTTGTTTTTAACGAATAATTTTGTATAACTTATTGTTAACAAGCTTGTTAACATAAACACATTCACACACACACACACCGACACAACCATCATGGTTGGGAAAAAATTATTGTTCTATATTTTCTAAAATGAAAACTTAATTTTCTTACTTGGGCTTTTCAGCCCATTTTCAATGTTTATCAAACTCAATCTCTCATGCTTAGGCCTTTGATTAAGTTATTCTCTTGAGCCTTACACTTATAGTTATTTAATTAAAATACTCAGCAATTTTATAACTATTTCTCAGGCACTTAAAAAACATGTCTTCCAGTGAAGAGTCTACACTTCTCTGTGTATGAATACTCAATTTTATTTTTCTCTATTTATTTTTGATTACTTAATGGTTTAAGATGAATAGATGTTAAACTCAGTCTCCAATCTTTGATTTTATTCTTTTCAGTTTTTATGGTATAATTGTTTCTAAGAGGGGATCTTGGAGTCAGACTGCCAAGACAGGAAACCAGATTCCCTGCTTCATATAACTATGATCTGAGACTCCATTTTACAACTCCCTGCCTCAGTATAATCACCTATAAAAATCAAGTGATATGCCAGGCAAGGTAGCTCACACCTGTAATCCCAGCACTTTGGGAGGCCACGGCAGGTGAATCACCTGAGATCAGGAGTTTGAAATCAGCATGGCCAACACAGCAAAACCCTGTCTCCACTAAAAATATAAAAATTAGCCAGGTGTTGTGGTGTGTGCCTATAATTGCAGCTACTTGAGTGGCTATGGCAGGAGAATCATTTGAACCCAGGAGGCTGAGTTGTAGTTAGTCAAGATTATGCCACTGCACTCCAGCCTGGGAGACAGACTGACACTCCATCTCAAAAAGTACAACAAAAAAAGGAAATGATAATAAAATTGTCTTTGGTTAATTTTGTTAGGAGTTAATATACTATTTGTATAACTACTTTCGTTTTTACCTCACTATAGGCAGGGACCAAAGATTGTTAATTACTGATTTGATCCTGTTTTACTTGATATTTAAGATACCAGTGAGAACTTCCACTTCTTTTTTTACCCCCTTTCTGAGACAGAGTCTCCCTCTATTACCCAAGCTGGAGTACAGTGGCAGGACCATAACCCACTAGAGCCTTGAATTCCTGGGCTCAAGCAATCCTCCTGCCACAGCTTCCCAAGTATTTGGGACTATAGGCATGCACCACCACACCAGCTAATTTTTAAATTTTTTTGTAGAGATGGAGTCTCCATATGCTGCACAGGGAACTCCTGCTCTCAAGGGATTCTCCCAACTTGGCCTCCCAAAGTACTAGGACTATAGGCGTGAGCCATCACATCTAGCCTGCAGTGGAACTTCTTGATGCTACCTAGAGCTTTGGCTCATGTCCATCCTAAAGTGGATCTAATCAGTTTGTAGTTATTTCCTCTTGCTGAATGTGTAATTGAAATGGATATGTATGGCAGCTACCAGAACTCTATCACATTCTTCCTGACCTGTAGAGTAAGGGACATTATTATAGCAGGACCAAGGGGAAGCCTCTGAAATTCTCCTCTACTGACAACACAACGTATAAAAAATAATAACCACATTCCCTAAGGAATAAAATTGGTCACTGCCACGACAAAACACTCGGAAGTTACAGGGGATGGTAGTCCCTTCTACAACCCTATTCACTTCACCTATCCGGCCTCTACCAAAACCAGATGGATTATAGAATGAATGCAGATTACCATAAACTTAAATCAACACTTACGAATGCTTTCCAGGATGTGCTATCTTCACCGAGCAGAGCATAGTTTCTGGTACTTTTAATGGGGCTCGTGATTTGGTGAATGTTTCTTATCTACACCCATTTTGAGGGAAAATCAAAACAATTTGCCTTGTAAGTATAATAACACTGCTTCACTGTTTTATGTCAGGGATATGTCACTTCTGTTCTCAATTTAATTTACATTTTTTAAAACGTCGTGCTAATGTAATATATTAATAATATTACAGACCGGGCCCTGGAGGACATGACTGTAATTCCAGCACTGCAGGAGGCCAACACGGGCAGACTGCTTGAGCCTAGGAGTTTAAGATCAGCCTGGGTAACATAGTGAAATGCCAGCCCTACAAAAAATACAAAAATCAGCCAGCCATGGTGGTGTGCCCCAGCAGTCCCAGCTGCTAGAAATGCCAAGGCAGGAGAATCACTTGAGCCCAGAAGGTTGAGGCTGCAATGAGCTGTGATCCTGCCACTGCACTCCAGCCTCAGGGACACAATGAGACCCTGCCTCAAAATAATAGCAATAATAATTATATATTCATTGGTGCAATAATCAGGAAGTGGCAAGTTTCTTAAATACAGTAAAAACTATAACATTGAATGGAAGTAAAATGCCAGAATAAAAGAGATAAACCTGAGAAGGTTCAGAGACCTACAACATAGGTGATATTTTAAGGCGTTCAGTGTCCCTAGGATACATGTAGAAACAATCTTTTTTAAAGTAAATGGTATGTTGCTTTCTCTATATATTTCCTATCACTACAAAAGAGGCACCATTCTGGGGGGGGCCTATTGAGATTTTGAGCCAACATATTCCACATTTGAGAATATTGCTCTGACTCATTACCAAAATTTCTAAAGGCTACTGGTCTCAGGTGGAACCCAGAACAAAAGGCGGCTCTATGGCAGATACAGGCTCTGCCCCAAGCTGCTCTGCCCACTGTGTCAGATGATCCAGCAGAATTCAGAGCTGCTAGAGGCATGCACAGTGGGCGTTATAGGATTCTATACACGTCTCTGACAAGCCTGTAGGAGAGCGGAGAGAAAATCTCTATGAAATTAGTGCAAGACCATTCCCTCTTCAGCAAAGGAGTATCTTCTGTCTGAAAAAACAAAACAGCAAGTGCAGAACATTAATCCAAGCATAGAGTCCCTCTAAGCACAAGCCCCTCTAAGCACAAAAACCTGTGCAGCTGAACAAGTCATATGCTCATAAAGCCAGCCATAATTGGAGGGCATGAGCACATCTGAGTGGCACAAGGAGTGGGCAGTACTGGGCAAAAACATGTGCTTTCTCAGATTCCCTTTACTAGCACCTTGCCTGATCCAGATCATCTTTCCATTTAGGACTTGAATGGATCATCGCACTATAAGAATGAAGTCTGACTTTCATAACCTCTACCAAGGGACTGGATGGTGTTAAGACAAAACAGCAGAGATGGTAGTTCTGCCTCAGGAAAACCGTGGCCAATGGGAAATCAAAGACAGAAGACAGCTGAGCAGATACATTCTCCCTTCTCTCACTTCTATGGACTAATGCTGGCTGTGGTTTCCCCTTGCTGCCATTCTGGAAAAGTGCTGGGAGCCAAGGGCATGCATCTGATGACCACCATGCTGTCTCTCTCACCTCACTGTGAAGTGGCTGCCAGCAGAATTAGACCATACATCACCACACATTGTTTCACATTTTTTCTTATCTCAATTTCCACATGTCCCTGCTCTTTTTGCCTTAAACTTGCCTTCAAATAAATGTCATCACTTTAATATCAGGTATTACATAAAAAACATTTTAGTAAAGTAACTGGTTACTAGCTCATTGTTTTGAAATAAAATGCCATTTTTGTTTACATAACAATCAATTAGAAAATATCAGGCCGGGCGCGGTGGCTCAAGCCTGTAATCCCAGCACTGTGGGAGGCCGAGGCAGGTGGATCACGAGGTCAAGAGATCGAGACCATCCTGGTCAACATGGTGAAACCCCGTCTCTACTAAAAATACAAAAAATTAGCTGGGCATGGTGGCGCATGCCTGTAATCCCAGCTACTCAGGAGGCTGAGGCAGGAGAATTGCCTGAACCCAGGAGGTGGAGGTTGCGGTGAGCTGGGATCGTGCCATTGCACTCCAGCCTGGGAAAAAAGAGAGAAACGCTGTCTCTCAAAAAAAAAAAAAAAAAAAAAAAGAAAATATCATAATACAAATATGTAATTCACAATAAAAATATATATACATATAGACAAAAGTCTTTTATGTGCTTTTTTTTAAATATTGTAATAAGTGCCTTCTAATTTTGATGTTCTACCTTGTCGCCAATTCAGACACCTGATGCAGCTGAATCAAGACTATATTATTGTGATATTTCCCCCAAAATTGTAGAATAGCCAAACCATTCCTCTGAGGAATGATCCTTCTTGGATAAGTGTGTAACCTCCACTGGAGACCAGAACAGGCGAATTCATGCAACTGTAGATTTTGTGATGAGTTTCCTTTTCATTGGTTTACCACATCAACTTACCCATTTTATCCACCCATTTATTTGTTCATTAAAATATCATTTTTGACCATCTATTCTTTGTGCTAGGTTCTAAGTCCTGGGAGTCAACAGAAAGCAAGACAGACATGGTATCTTTTTTTTACGGTGCTTACATTGTACTGAGGAAGATATATAATTTTTAAAATACATAAATCAGGTGTGAGGATGATTTATCTTAAGGTTTAAATAACTGTTAAAATTTCATAACATCAAGAATTAATACAGTCATCTAGAATTTAGCTGTGAACAAGATTGTACATTTCCTTCTTAATAGAATTAATTAATAGAATTTCCTATTAATGAATATGTTAACATACTTTCATTTCATCATTGACAAAAAAATTACAATGCTAAAGCACACCCTATAACACATAGATTTTATAGATGCTATTTTAACATTTACAAAAAGTTTCACTGAATTATTTTCCATAATTTCTATACAATTTTTACATTGACAGTTTTGGTTTTTTTTTAAGAAAAAGGAAGATTTGAGTTGTCTTATCTAAAGTTTAGAAGGAATTTTATAAATGGAAGATAAGACTATAATTCACAATTCAGGGGCTTAGACGTGCATTAGAAAAATACCAAAATAATTTACATCAGCTCTCAACTTCAAAAAAAGCTTTTCTTTAGTTCAAAAGCTGGAAGAAATGACTTTTCTTACTGCATATGGAAACTGATAATAGCAATCAAGATCATGATCATGGTTTTTCATCCCTATTATAAAAGAGATTTTTTTCCTAAGCCATTCACATACTTGTGTTAAATCTGCTACTCCTCAGTAGTGTTTATGGTAGGCAAAGACGAAATTTACTCTACATATGTTTGTCACCCAAACTTTATTGTGTGCATCGTTTTCTAACAATAATTGTGTTTGCTTTATATTAAACATAAAATAGGAACTCACAATGAAATAAAACCCTGAAGACATATCCTCATTATTGATTTAGAATTAAATGATCTTACCATCCAAAAAGTTAGAGGTTCAAACAATGAATTCTAACCACACTGTGGTATATTTGTGTGGTTCAAATAACAATAGAAAAGAGCAATATTTTTCCCGAGATAAGCTGTTAGTTCTTAATAATTATGAATAGACAACATAAATTCTTCAAATGAAATATAAAATACACGTATGAAATACACAAGCCTTCATAATTCTGAGGAACTTTTATCATATTTTGTATAATTTGGCAGTTTGTGTGAAAAAGCAATAAAGAGTATGTTATTGTCGATGTTCTTAAGTTTTCATACACACATAAACACACACACACACACACACACATGCTTTTTTAGATTAACTTTAGGTAAAAGACTTTTATAGGTATACATTTGAAATTATTCATATACATACCTTACAAAAAACCAGTAAGAAATATAAAATGTTTCATACACCACCAGTTTGTTTTCTGCTAGAAGATATACAATGCCCTTCTTGTGATTCTATGGAGATGAAGATTTCTGTCCTTTCACCCAGTACCTCACTTGCCACCAAACTGAAAGAAAAGTCTGCTTTAGCTTCTTGTTTCCCCAAATCAGGATGAATGGGTGGGCTGAAGGATAGCTGAATCTAATAGCTTGGCAGAACATAAAGACAGCTTTCTTTTCCATGTTCTCAAAACTCTGAACTGATATTATTACAGACAGAAAGTAAGTGGCACATAACAAGAGGAAGGAGATCACGATTTGCAAAGCTTTTATGTGGACTTTGGTGCTGGGATCTTGACATCTTTTGCCATGGAGCTGCATCTTCTTGAGATGTTTACACAGAGAACAGATTAATAGCAGAAAAGATATCAGGGTCAGAGTGAAGGGTGCTAAGTTAGCTAGCAGGTTTATAGTCAAATTTGACAGGGACATCGCATTCCTCAATTTGATCTTCCAAGTCATGTTTCCTTTATATTCTTCTGTCCATACAATCTCATTCACGTTTACCACAAAAAGCTGACAAATCAAAAGTAGCAAAGGCCCCAACATTATCACCCGAATGACACTCGTAACTCTCCTCTTTAAGCGAAGAAAAATAAAGTTGGAGAAATTGACAATCTTGAGCAAATAAAATATGCTGAGGCTAGTAGCAAGCCAGTTGCTGAAATGGCTGGTTACTGCCCAGAAGCTGTAAGTAGTAATTCTGACTTCTGCAGTCTTATAAAAAGCTGGATTCAATACAGTTGAATACCAATGTAATAATAATACCCAGAGCAAACCAACTCTGGAGATCGCCAGAGCAGTGAGAATTTGGTCAGCAAAGGAGATCTTTTGTCTCTTGACCCACTCAATGGAATTTACCAATGCTATGAAGCCATTAGCAAAATTTCCAAGAACAAATGTAACCACTACTAGAATGGAAAAAATGATGGGTAGAAAAGTTATCATATCTGAACAGACAAAAAGGAATTTTTTAAATGCTGGTATAATATCACTGATTGTGATTGCTTGAATATCCTGGCCTTAAATTCTATATGTGCCTGATTTGTGAATATGCTGTGACATTCTTTTTACTTTTAATTGTTGTGACCAGTGTCAAGCCAGAAATCACCATGGCATGCTAATGCCTGAGGTTCAATCCTCTCTTTATGGAAAACATTCTTATTTTCAAAACAACTCAAATTAACTCATTCATTCACTGTCTGTTCTTGTTGTAGGCTGGAATTATTCATACTGAAATTGACGGGAAGCCTGAATTCTCATTTGCTAATATGTAAATAAGGATATATTATCTTTCAGTGTTTGCAGTTTTTCCTTGTGTAACCTCTCCACCATTTGTCTTTAGCGACTTCAGTTGTTAGGGAAGTTTTACAACCCAACACATAGATCATATGGTAAATGCCTAAATTGTTAAAGGGAGTTTGGTCATAACTAAGATCATCACCAATATGGACTTTTTTTTTAATTTCAGATTTAAATACAAAGAATCCAAACTTCTTTTATCAAAAGCATCTAAGATTGTCTTGAGAACTACAGGCAGGCCAATACTCCTTAAGATCTGGTTGCTGCTAATAATGCATAACTTCTTTGTTCACAAGCTCATAAATACACACATATGCACACTACTTATGAATGGAACACATTATTTTCTTGAATTTCCAAAATAAAAAATGGGTTTCCAGGAAATTGTCCAGGTGAAATTTGTCCTATTTACCACTCAGGGTTTTCATCCCATGAATACTATTTAGTTATCAAACATATCTCTAATTCTTAGGCCTTTGGTATAGTTTCTCTCAAGTCTAACATTTAAATATTTATTTAATTAAAATATTTAGCAATTTTATAAGTATTCCTGAGTACCAGACCCTTTGATAGATAATGTTTCAGTATCCTCCCATCACAAGAACACTGACTACCTTGCCCCTGAACTTAGAGTTCAATCATTTAACTTGTTTTGATAAACAGAATATTGCTACACTTTGCATAGAGATTTGAGATGGCTTCCATATAAAGGATTCTTCCTCTTTCCATTTACCATGAGACTATTGCCTGGCTAGTACATGCTTACAGGAAAATGAGAAACTAGTGAAGTCAGACTGCCCCCTCCCGACCCTGCAATCCAGACTAAATTGGCCAAACTCTACCTCCAAGATGCAGAATTTTGCCTATCTCAAATCACCAGAGCCATCCACCAAACTCAGATTAGAAAAACAAAATCCAAAGACATGTGAGGTATAAATATCTAACACAGTTTTGGAGGGTTTTCTCTTGCAGAAAAACATAACTAATAAAAGAACTCTGCTAAACCAAGAATGTGGGGAATATGTACAAGCTAGTTGTGTCAGGAATTCAGGAGCCAAAAGAAAAAACAGACAGGAAATGGCAATGGTTTGTTCCTGTGAGGCGGATAATTAAGGCTAGAAGAAATCCTTTGGAAAGATCTGAGGTTAGCAGGTAACAACATCTCAAATTTCCTCAACTTGCAACTAAATAAGAAAGTTCCTACTTCAGCTCTCTTAGAGTTGTATAAGAATGTATACACATAGTTGATTTTTCCCCTCAGTATATAATGAAATGAGTAATAATCATTTCTATGAGACATTTCTCCTAATTAAAAATTTTATATTAAAATTATAATGCACACTTAGAAATAAACCAAAACAAAAATGGAAAATACAGCAATGTATCATAAACACTCAAGTAACCATCATGCAGGGCAAGACAAGGAACGCCAAAAACAGTCTATGTCCATCCCCATGCTACTTTCCAAGCCCCTAAAACTTTCTTCACATCTCCTAAGATAAGCAATATCCATAATTTATGATGACGGTTTCCTTGATTTTCTTTATACTTTACCAAATAATTATGCAACCCTAAACTACATAGCTTGGTCTGGCCTGCTTTGAACTGTATAGGTGCAATCCTACATGTTCTTTTTGTATGTGGCTTCTTGGACTAAACATTATGTTTCTGAAATTTAATCACATAATTGCATGTACATGTGATTTTTTTTCATGTCTCTATATTACTCCATTGTATGGATTTACTGTAATGATTCATCTGTCCTTAATATATATTTGGCCAGCTTCTTTTTTGAACAATTATGAATAATTCTACTAGAGCATTCTTTCACAAATCATTTGATACAATTCCATTGTATATATACCTATGAGTAGAATTACAGGGTCTTTGTTCAAAATCTCATCATAGACACAGAAAAGTTCAAAGAATAATTTAACTAAATTTATCCCTGTCACCTTTACCTCCAGTCTATTTTTTGCCATTTGCATATATCTTATCAATTATGTAATTATCCCAACAAGATATTATTTTATACAGTAAACATTAATTTAGAAGTATGCACATATTTATCATTTTCATTAATTGTATTCCTTCTTGCATATTCTTAATATTTTCAATAATTTTTATTGGTCAGGCAGGGTAGCTCACATCCATAATCCCCGCATTTTGTAAGGCTGGGGCAGGGGCACCCAGGAGTTCAAGACCAGCCTGTGCAACACAGCAAAACTGTCTCTACAATAAATAAAAAAGGTAGACATAGTGAAGCTACTCACAAGGCTGAGGTGGGAGGATGGTTTGAGTCCAGGAGTTCCAGACTGCGGTAAGCCATGATCTGACTGCTGAACTCCAGCCTGGGCAACAGAGTGAGACTCCAACTCTACAAACAATAATAATAATAATAATTTTTCTTTTAATTAAAAGTATTATTTTAAGTTTCTGTTTATCAAGGTCTATTCTACTTTTGAAATACACTGAACACATGATTCCATTCAACTCTAGCTTCATTTTTGTCTTTTACAAATCAGGTTGTCATTTAGACAGTTATTCCCTTTAACATAACCTATCTTTTCCTCTAGTTACTTTTCAGATTTTCTATCTGTCTTTGATGTCCTGTCATTTTATGTTAATTTGTCTTTAGTTAACACATCTGAAGTTTGATTATTTCTAAAAATATAAGAACTGATACATTTTATCACATTTAGAAAAATCTCCACATTGTTTCTGCCCCATTTTCTCTCTTCTAATTTTCCAGAACTCCAGAAATATGTTGGATGTTCTGATTGTAGCCTCAATATCTCTTACCCTCTAACCTTATATTTTCCATCTCTTGATCTTTTTATGCTTCATTCTGGGTAGTTATCTTCCAGTTCACTAATTCTTTCTTCTCTTTATGTTTAATGGTTGTTAACTCTGTCTATTGGATTCTCAATATTGATTATTTTTGTCTTATTGTTTTAGGGGTAGAAATAAACTTTTGCTCTCCTTCTATAAATCATTTTTTAATGGAGGAACTAAACAAACTATTCCTAACACCAAGTTCTTAAAAAAAGAGCTTTTATAAATTTTTCGTACACCTGACATGAAAATGGTAATGATTTTCTTCTTTGCGTAATAGTTTGGTCACAGAAGAGAATGAAAGCATGATCTAGGCATTCTCCTGAAAGTTGGAATAAACTGGAAATTGATTTGATGTAAGTAGCTTTTTTTGGATAGTAGCTTGTCTGTTGCTGGGTCATCACCACAAAGTCTCCTCACAGGGAAATTCAATGAGCAGCATTGTATCTCAAAATGTCATTGCAATTAATAGTGTATAGTACCTCAACCACAGCTCCACCTTTCTATTCCATCATTTAAATTTTACTCTGTTTTTATTAACATAAATTATTATTAGCAGAAATCAGGACTTCTTAGTTTATAACAAACTTTAAAAGATCAAATAGTACAACAGTACTCACAAGTTTATCAAAAAATGAAGGACATCTGTTATAAGTAGATTTTAAGTCCCAAGGAAACACAACTGAATCCGGTGCCTCTATGGAATTCCACCATTTATTCCCTATCCATGAATATAGTTTTAGTTATAGAACTATAACCTTCAAACTCCATCATTACTCACTCAAGTGTGACAGAAGATCTGAGGTCTTACCTCTGTTTGACACTTTGGTCCTAAAATCCTCTCTTTAGAAATAAAAGCTTGCTCATAAAATGTGTTATTTGCTTTATCCTTCTTATTAAGGAATTTTATTTACACTAAAATCTAAATTGTTTCTATAGTGATCATAGGGAAATGAGGATTAGTTTAAGGTCATCCATAAATAATTATTTGCTTAAGCAATGTATTATAAATGAAACCACACTTAATTTCTCAATATAAATTATTGAGCTTGACTTGACCTTTGCTATTTACCACTGTAACTTTCCCACAATGATGATCTTTTTAAAATTACCTATTTTCCAAATTATGTAAATATGTCAAAAATAAATCATTTAATGAGATAGATGTAGATATAATGATGATGATAATAATAATGGCAGGTAAAAGGGAGGATGCTATTTGATAAATGTAATTTCAGTCTCATTTCTTAAATACTAGAGTTCAGGGTGATGAGAAAACACTATTAATCTTCCTCATGACCTCATGATTCCTATATTATTTTCAGCATAAGGCTTAGACAAATACCCTCATGTGATATTCATCAAGAATAATGTAAAACCAACATATTTTCAATGATTTTTTTTTCTTTTACTACAATTTAAAAAATTATAGCAAAAGTGACCTCCAACAATTAGGATTCTATTTTGGGCTTTTTGGGGCATTTTTCAATATGAACATGGACTAATGCTCTAGATATAACACAGTATATCAATTTTATTTCATGTTTTAAGCACATCATTAGCAAGCTAAATTCTTGCAAATGCTTTTTCACATTCTTAGCTATGGTGACTAAATCTGGATGATTTTACTATAGCAGTCAAATTAGTATATTTGCACAAACATACTGAAATATCATACTGAATATGTTTTATACCTTAACAAATTTGCCTTTCTATGATTTTTTCTCTAATGTAGAACCAAAACATTTATAGTAACAAAATATTTTTCCCAAGTGTACATGTAAATAGTATTGTGCAATTAGAACGCTAACAATATAAATATTTCATTTAGAGACACATTTTGGGACAATAGGTCTACATATTTAATGTGCATTATACTATAATTTTTTGGAAATTCATGACTTTCTGACACTTTGAAATGTATATTATTAATAATTAAATTGGAAATAAGAAAAAAGGCATCTAGCAATCATTCATATTCAAATTTTGATGTTTCAAATTAATAACAGCATTAAGAGAGTGGATTTACAATTATCTTTTTCTTTTTTTTCTTTTTCATTAATTTAAGAAAAGTTTTGGGCCAGGTGTAGTGGCTCACACCTGTAATCTCAGCATTTTGGGAGGTTGAGGCAGGTGGATTCCCTCAGCACAGGAGTTCAAGACCAGCCTGGGTAACATGACAAAATCCTGCCTCTACCAAAAATAGAAAAAATTAGCAGGGCATGGTGGTGGTGCACACCTGTTGTCCTAGCTGCTCAGGAGGCTGATAGGGGAGAATCACTTGAGCCCAGGTGGCAGAGGTTCTATTGAGCAGAGATTGCACTTGTGCACTCCAGCCTGGACAAAAGAATGACACTCTGTCTCAAAATAAAAAAGAAACTTTTAAATTCTAACTTGGATTTCTTAGTACCATAATGCTCTATTCTCCTTTATTCAGCAAACACTCTAATTACAATGGTATCTATGAGAATATGCATATCACCTTAATTTTATACTTAGAAATGTACTTTGCTGCCGAGTCTGTCCCATAGACTCTGGCCTAGTGAAGGATGAAAGGAGTACTCAGACACAGGTATTTTGCATGAGAGCAACTAGGGGACTGCTGGAGAGAGCAGTCCTGATAAGCCAGAGCCACTTGCCTTTATTCAGTACTGGTATAATGTCAAAGGCTTGGAGCCAACACAATTTGTGGGTAATTAACATTGTCCCTCCCCATTGCAGGGAGCAGTCTTGCATGTGGATGATCAAAGGTCAGTCTCCAGATAACATTAGTAAACTTATCTAGATAGATTTCTTTACACTCCCTGTTACCTACTCCTTGCCCTTAGCCTCAGGGTAAGAGAATTAGCTGCCTTCAGCTTTATACTCTCTGGAAGCTTTGCAGAGCCTTCTGACCTTTCAAAAGGCCTGCTTCTTTCCCTATAGCTTCTCCCACAACCCTCACCAATCTCCTACGTCTCCCCCTTTTCTGTTTTTTGCATCAGGTTTTGTTGATTGAAGAGTACAGATGTGTGCAGCAGTAGGTTTTTAAGAGGTAGCAGTTACAGCTCGTTTTCCAGCTTTGCAACCTACAATTAGTAAATAACATGAGATAAAAAAGAGTATAATCAGTAATATCCTTTTCCAACCAAGGAGTGACCCCCAGGAGTAGGGGTCTATCCAGGAGAGATGTTTTTGTATATCCTTCCATATGGCTGTTTGCTGGGCATGTAGATCTACAGTGTTTAGAGATTCTCGAATTTTAGTTTTAAGTTGCTTTACATCTGCTGTTAAATTATCACGTAAGATTCCCCAGAGGTGTTGTTTCACCTCATCTCAACTATGTATTGATTGATGTCAAGGTAGAGAGGTGACAGAGATATGCTTATGCTCCCAGTCGCAGTTTAATTGCTGTCAGAATGCCAGTACATCTTGCCATTCCTCTATGTACTCTAAGTCAGCCTTGAGGGCTTGCAGACATGCAAGAATTTTTTTGATCTATACCCTGCTGTAGGAGAACTTCAGTAGACACATTTCTGGCCAAGTTATCCACAAAGGTGGCTGTTTGTACTGATTCAGTATGCAACAGCAACACTAGCAGTGGCTAGGATGACTATGGCTGAGAATATAGGACTGTAAGTATACCTAGGAATCTTTTGTGTCTGACCTGGGACAGGACACATTCTAAGGTGGCAAAAGCAGAGAAACCCTGCCAATCGTGTGTCAAATTGACTGGTAGGAATGCTTCAGGTTGTCTCCTTAATACCATGACACTAGTAATATTTAAATTAGATATATTGTAATTAGTGATACCTGAGGCGAACCAAGCCTGTCTTGGCACTTGGGTCACAAACATGAAGTTTTGGGGTGTAATGGAAATACTGGTTCCCATACGGAAAACATATGGATGGCTAGCACAAATTAGTCACTGACCTGTGTCATTATGAATAAAGGTCATAGTATAATTTTTACTGGAATTATAATATACCTCACACCAGGTGTTAAAGGTGGTTGTAAGATGTCCCAGGTGCCATAAAGTGTCTTGGAGTGGCATGGACTCTACTTGGGATATGGAATATACCAGCCCCCATTGACCCAAATCATAGGACAATGGGATGTGCCTATGAAACTGATTGATGCCACGATGGATGCAGACATCAGTATGGTCACCGTGCAAATAGCCATGAGGGCTCCAGTCTTAAGAAATTATAATTGCCTAACTGGAGGTTACAGGATTGTCCCCCATGACAGATCTCCCAGCTAAGGTGGAATCCATTACTTTCCTGGCTTT